AGGTTAGTTATGTTTTTACGAGTTGACCAGTGAGGTCCAATTAGATGTCACGTGTGTGGATGGATGTCCCACCAACGACAATGGTTGGGGTCGCGCTAAATCACGAATTGGTAGAAGTTAGAATTCATGCACTGGCCATTGAATTGGGTCCCAGTAAGTGGCTGAATGGTATACGAGCTTGCCTCGTAACCGGAAGGTCCTGGGTTCAAATCCCAGTGGATGCGTACTGCCCATGATTCTCAAACTAGGATGAAACAGCAGCTGTCCAGTACTCCAGTGCTGGTTTTCAATGGTTCTCTAACTGATATCAATCCGTGATCAACTCGTAAAAATATAACTAACCCTTACAAACCAAACTATAGAAAATTAAAATTGTAGAGCCTGAAGACGAATTTATCAAAAACAGCTGTTCACTCAAAAATCATCTTGTTCTAAATACACTGTAGAGCTATTTAACTTAATATGAAGTATTTCTATGCATGTATACATATTCAATGACACTTTCCAAAGAAACAGTTGATTTTATCAGCGTTCTATTGTTTATATCAACAGGAAAAAGAACTTATGCGAATTTACATTCAGTATTCAATGTTATTATTAGATTTCTATATTAGGATAAAATAACACTTAGGGCAGCTGAATACCACGATAACTATTAACTAGATGATACTGTATGAATAACAACCCTAGGCCAGAGATCCACCTAACGATTAAGACAGGATTACTGTACCTAAATTGAAAACATAACCTCCTCCCCCTCCCTCTGTTTATGTCGACTGTTAGTGTCTCAACAGAAGCCTTGATAGCTCACCCTTTAAGCAAATATCTTCAGTAGCGAATCAGATCAGCAGTGTGAAGCGAAGAATTGGTTGAGTAAAAGCCACTTTTAGACATCAGGATAAACAACAACAAAAATTTGGAAAGATATAGAGTCATAAGTCATTATTAGATATAATAGATTATACCTAGAGGATAAATTATTCTTGCCAGTTATTTATAATGTTTAATGGAGGATGTCAGTGTAAATTAAAAAGGGGTAATTAGTCATTGAGAGAAAATAATCCAAACAAGAATAATAATAAGCATGAGTTGTATGTGAGATTGAGTTAAATTTACAGGATAAATAGGAACAAGTTAGAATTTATTCCCTAGTGATCTCCCACTATGTCTAAGTAAAAGTGTAGTAAAAAACATCAACCGTTCACTATTTATCCACCTGGTCCAAACTGGCCGGCCACAAAGCCAGAATTGAACAGTCCTTCTCTATCATCAGCTATCAAGTACCAAACAGACTGCCAAAAACATCCAACTACCGCATGCTTCAAACAGCAGAGGCTATCGCAATTCACCTGAAGATACCGGTGATTTGTTTGCAGAAAAAACAAGTCCAGCCAGCTACTACTACTGCACTGGCCAGTCTTCAGTAGAGACTATAAATTCATGAATTTGTATTATTATCTTTCAAAATTTTTCTGGCATTCAGTTTATTGTTATGTTGATGTTATCGAACTGAAATCTTCTCATATTTGTTGATTGATTCGATGTTATTTAAACAACCACATTAATGTTGTTAATAACACTAATTCAATCATTCACTATTATGCAAATATAACTGTAGAACCTGATGAAGAGCAGGTTTTCGAAAAGAGTATTCTTTGTTCAGTATCGATTTCTTAATTAGTCAACAACTCTCTATCTGTACACATGCACGGCGTCATCAGCTGTAGAAACCAGGACCTACATGTCCTTAGTTCAATTGTGGAATACCCGTCAGTCACACAGAAGGTCTGGATTGGACATCGGGACCAATAGTAAGCTGAGAAAAAGAAGGGAAGTTTGAGCCAGCAATCCCACTGAAAAGAACTAACATGACAGCTACTGAAATGTCAACTATTGTATTCCACTAGGAAAGCAGACAACAACAAAAAAGGATAGTCGATGTAACTGCCTATCTATAACTTGCATAAGTTCAGATGGGAAGCCGTGATTGGGATGGTCCTTAAGGTTGTCTTTGAATACAAGTACTCCTTAAAGTAGTTAGAATTCACAAGTTATTCGGTCTTCACCTAGTGACCTGCCCCATCTCTCTACGTGTAGGTCTTTGATTCGGTTCCTGATATATTCATGTGTGATTTGTGGTGGAGATTCTGAAACTGGAAGGATTGAATTGTTCAGTGCTTTCTGATTTCTAATGGTTCTCTCAATGATCTTAGTTTGTGACGTAATCCATCTTGGATTCTATCAAACTCTTAGAGATCAACACTTGACATAATTATTTAGAGCTTGTTAAATTATATGTAGTTCAATTTTAGTGTTGCCTATACTCATTTAGCTTCGACAGATAAGTGGGAGACTTTATTAGCTTTGTCTCTATTACAACTTTGGATTTTTTAAAGTGGGTTTACAAGGCACCAGTTAAATCATTATCTTCAATAAAAAGCCATTAATTATTATAATTATTATTCCCTTGGGTTCCAACTGGAACATGGGGCTCCAACAACACATAGCCACTTTCTTCTATTTGTTGATTTCCTCTTCAACTGGCTTGCTCCATGATCGACCATAATCTCTCATCTCCTCCTCCTCCTTGCCGAACTATCTCTTCCATGTCGCCCTCGGACTGATGACCCACCCGTCGCTTCCCACCGGCGTTTCATTTGAGCCATGGTCTGACAATGGCGCGATGTAATTCCGTGGCATACTCAACAGCGTATCTCCGATCAATCCACCTCTGTTTTCTTATGCATATTTGTTGAGCACTCAACTTTTGCTTGTTGCTCTGTTGCCAGCCAGTTTCTTGTCGTCACTTCTTTGCATTGGCAGGCTGGCCAGCCATTTTATCTTCAGTATGGAGCCAGCCAGTGAGGTGGGGGGCTGTTGATAAAAGTCTGAAAATCCTTCGTTAGAAATGCTTTTCGTGACACGCGTGCATGGCAAGTTTCTGACACGTATAGAAGCGGTGAAGCTGTGGCTTCACTGCGATTTGTGTCGAACGGAATCTGAATCATGTTGTTTATGCTGGCTGAGTGAGTGAAGCAGATTTCCAAACTGGTTTCAGGTTGATGAAGGCGTATTCTGTCTTTTTGATTCTGTTTGTCTCGTTCTGATATCTTCATTCGTGAAATCCGCCTGCCTGTGGTTGAAATTGTGCTTCTTAGATAGATAGGTGAACGAAGTAACCTTCAAAATATTTGTTGACCAATGAGTTTGTCATTGATTAATTGCTAAATTTCCGTGCTGCTCCTCCTTTGGGGCCATCTTCACTGTACTATTTAGAGGAGGCAAATGTTGATGAAAGTCCTTAGCCTTTTGGAAATGCTTTAAGTTACGCATCAAGTCTCTGAATATACAGAAGCACTTGACTTTACTGTCAAAATCCCGAATCTTGTTTCACAAGCTGAGTGCAGACGACTACCACGCTGATTTCAGACTAATGAAGCTATAAACTGCTCGCATTCTCACCTGTGTCACATATAGTTCAGAATATGTTCCCTAGAAAGGTGAAAGAGGCCACCTTTTTTTAGATTTCTCCATTTTGATATTGACTGATGCTTTTGTTATACGGGTACTTCCATCACCTCTGTTTCATCCATATTGACTTGAATTCCTATCTTCAGTGTTTCTTCTACTAATTTATTTGTTTATGTAACACTTAATACAAATCATCTGTGAATTATACGGGCCTTCTGGAGTCTTACTGTCAGTCCAAAGTATGTGTGTGCCTTCTACTTCCCCACAGTCTTCTGTAGTCCACCGCGATGAAGAATACCTTTTGGCGATATTAGGCAGACTGTCCTTACTCCTCTGTTCACTGCAAAGGCTTTCCTAGACACAGTAAATAACTAATCAGTGAGGAGGTGAACACGGTGCTTTTAAGGTTTCTTTGTGATCAATGAAAAACAATAGTTCCGCTAAAGTGTTAGCCACCAATTTTTAGATTTATTTCACCATCCAGAAATGCAAAATAATGACTTTGTGATTGACATTGTACATTTTTCAAAAGAATGGATACTGAACAAAGAGTACTCTTTTCGATAACCTCATCATCAGGCTCTACAGTTATATATGCACAATAGTGAATGAGTGAACTAGTGTTATACACAACATTAATGTTATTTAGATAACATCGAATCAACAATGTTGATAGATTAAGGCTCAATAGCATCAACATAAAATTAGCCGAATGCCACAAAAATTAGGAAAGATAATATTACGAATTCATGAATTTCTGGTCTCTACTGTAGACCAGCCAGGGCAGTAGTAGGACCTGGACTTGCTTCTTTTGAACACAGAGCGCTGGTTGTTTGAGGCGAATTGCAATAGCCTCTACTGTTTGAAGCATGCCATGCTTCGATGATTTTGGCAGTTTATAAGGCACCCGGTAGATGATAGAGAAGGATTCTTCCACTTTGGCGCAGCTGAATTGGTATATACAGTTGGAAGTGGCTAGTCTAGGTACTTTATCTTTAAGCCAAGAAAATCATCGTTGGTCGAGTGGAGAATAAGACGTGTAGTTTGCTATCATTAAAAGTTCTTTGATCTGATTTTCTTAACTTCCCCGTAATTATCTCACTTGGTATATCGCCCTTGAATTGCAGTCGTGTATAAAGTTTATTCTTGTTTACGCGTAGTGTATAGTCCTTTTCCGCTTTCTTTGTCATGTGTTTCTGAATAAATTTGTCAGGATAGCTATTTTCGATCAAAGTATCATATACAATGCTTAATTCATCTTCACTTACTTCTTCTGAGCATATAGCTCTAACTCTGTGGCTGAGGGTCTTCACTAAATTTCCTTTGTACTTGATAAGAACGAAGCTATGAAAATGTGCATATTATCCTGTCCAAGTACTTTTTCTGTGTAAATTTCTTTTTATGCTACCATCTGGGTTGTTTTCATCCGTAAGATACAATCTCGCATGATTATTCACTGTATAAATGTCTAACAACCTTTTTTATTTTATTTTTTTCTCCTTAATATCTAGAAAACCGAACAGTCAACCATGAACAAAAAGACAACAGATCAGACGAATGCTGCTCAATATTTCAATCATCAAAATAAAAACCAAAAATTCGATTTACCAGCATTACTTGCCTCAGGAAAATACTTTATCGATGAACTAGGCTTTCTTGTAGCACCAAATGGTACTCGTTATCGTATACCCTCAGGTCCACCGGAAGGTCGTAAACCTTTACGCCTTGATAAACCTCAACAGCTATCAAAAGTCAACCTGAATTATTCAACGCTACCATTCAACAAATCTCATCAAACTGCACATATTGAATTACAGGATACAAATAAACTCAACGGTCTGAGTAACAGTTTTATGAACAACAGAGAGAATGTCAGCCTTTATGTGCCATTTCTGTCAACAGATAGCGAATTCATAAAAGCTGCATCGAGTACACGAACAACTCTGACCAATGGTTCATCCCTGCTGAACTCAATCAATCCAAATGGTTTTCGTTCAGATATCCTGCACTCTCTCGACTGGAATGTTATCCTGCTGACACTGATTATCAGTTCTATCTCTCTAGTGTTGAATACAATCCTTATTGTATTTCTATCCTGGAGATTAAGCCGTCATAACAAATGGAGAAGGCGGGAGAGATACTCAGATATTGTGAGTTATAATAGTGAAGAAGGTAGTAGTCAAAATGTTTGTAAATGTGAACAGTCGTCATGTAAATATAAAGGTGATAAGTATAGTCATTTATCATCGAACCATACACCAGATTTCAAGTGTAAGTTGAATTCAACTGAGGCAGGTGATTACCCCTGTACACATAAACATTTGAACATGGACAGTAGTGATCCAGTGAAGTCGAAACCACGTAGATTGTCACATTTTTGGTATAACGCCACAAATCAAGCGTCGGAATTCCAGCCACAAATATACCATAACAATGGAAGACATATAAAACATGTAAATTTACAAAACACTGATAAAGTGATGATCAACAATCAACATCTTCATGTGCCTAACAATTTTGCCAAGACATCATGGGCATTTCAACATCATCACCATCATAACCTTCAGCATCATCACCAACAGCATCCCCATGAACCAGTGTTTTGTAAAGCTCATGAACACTTAGATGTGAGTTCAGTGAATGATGGTAGCTGGCAAATGGTTGCCAGCGATGGCGTTATTACTGATGATACAAGTGAAGAGAATAGAGACGGTTCATTGGATTCAAAAAGCAACTCTGATATACTATTTTCACCGACAATCAAGCCTAAGAAACAACGAAGCAAACTATTGCGTAACAATAGCAAGAAGAAGAACAGGAAGAATAAGAATAAGAAGAAGCGGAAAAAGTTAAAGAGACGATATTTAGACGAAACACTGAGTGAATCCAGTATGAATAATCTCCATTCTATTCATCCACATGACACATATGCAAATAAACAGAATAAAATGTCAATGGTAAATAAAACCCCCAGCATAAATGATCAGTTCACATGTTCAAATCCTCCTCATACAACACACATTTCATCTGATTATAAATTAAGAATTCTACGAGAATCACTTGCCAACTATAATCGTAATGTTTATGTATGTCATACATTGGGGATACATTTAGGCATACTTGGCGCCCTGTTGTCACTCCTCCAGCTGACAGCCATTTGTATTGCACTAGTCAGTCGAAGTACAATGTTGAACAAAACAACACAAGAATTATACCATATTTCATCGACAAGTGAATTTATTTGCCTTATCACTAGTTCATTAGCCTCAGATGCTATTTTATGTGCACGACTTTACCTACTGGTTGCTTTTACAATTAGTTCGCTAACTGTTCTGTATATAAAAGCTATTTTCAAGTTTTTACTCAAGATAACACGATTGAAAGATATTCAGTCGTACAAATTTTATTTGTTTAAGCATATTATACCGGAGTGCAGTAGGAAAATTATGTCATTCCCTGACAGTGGTCATCATCCACGTCATCCGTCGAGTCATAGGCATCATCAAGGCTTTGCTTATATCGCTTTGATGCATTCACTGCCATGGGCACTGGCCGCTGGTACAGCCCTACTCATCGCCTTCTCTTTCTATCCAAGTAATCATAATTCTGATGTATTTGAGCCGATGACGAATACAACTCAGATACTGGTGGACAGTGTTAAGTCGTCTGTCAACATTCTCTTTGATGGACTTGACTCATTGTTCACCTGTTCAGTACGGCCAACTCGTGAGTCAGCAATCAATACAATGTATCCACATATATCCCAATCAAAAGTAGTCAAAATTCCCTATATTTGGATTCCATCATTTCTCCTGATTATTCTGCCTTTAATTCTACAAACTTTAATAATTCTCTCCTATATTATGCTTGTATTTATTTCTCGGCATAAAAACTCCACTGGTAGACATCAATTCAGAGCATCAAGTAAAATAATGCTAGTCATTTTAACTATACTACTCATTGAGATTATCAGCCTATGTACACCAATCTTGTATAACATGTTAATTTCTGTATATCCAGAGGAGAGATCAAACCTAATTCTAGTCTCTCGAGTGATTATGCTCCATTTGTTAGCCGACCCTTTACTCATGATTTGTTTAGTTGAAAAGTATATGAAAGAGGACAGTATACATGAATACGCTGCCACGAAAGATGAACAACTTACCTGTGAATCATTAGTTAATGTACGATCCTATTCAAATAATGATCAACTACCCAGAAGAGATCCACTAGATTTTACTGATGATAGAGAAATGAAAGTTATCGAAAATAAAGATACTCTACTACAGAATAAGTCGATGGCTTCACCAATTCGATTGTTCAGTTGTTTCCCTGTGAACCCTTACTCATTTTCGCATAATCGAACGACGAATACTATAGAGAATATACAACCACTTGTTATGCCATGTCTTCCCGCTTCAGGATTTATTGTACCGGCGATGAATTCTGTGTCGAATTCAACACCATTCAGCGATGCCAAGTTACACACTGAAATGAATTCAAGTGGATTTCTGTTACCTGTTAGTGGTAACAATAATTTGGATGCTTCAAGTAATACGATAGCTAACACATTGCATAATCTCTACTCAGGTGGCCCTGAAATATCAATAGGTCATCACAGTTCATCTCCTCTTAGAGATCCTCAACTTATAGGCAATTTTACATCCCTGTCGGACACTTCATTAACACCAGAGATTGATTACAGTCAAGCGCATACACCTACAACAACATATCGAAATATGAAAGATGCTTATCCACAACTCTGTCAACATCATCAACGTTTATTAGAACAACAGTATGAACAACCGTCGGCCAGTTCAACAGTGAAGCGTAATCGTAACTTTGGCAGTGTTCCACGCTTAAAACAGACAACACTGACCGATTTTAATGCATTACTGATTGGTAAGCCTACACCGGATCCATCGCATCGACATTCACCGTCACCAACACCGATAGAAAATACGAAACCGGAGACTGTCAATGAAATATTCTCTTTACAACAGCTTAGACAAACAACTGGACAGAGTACAGCGACAGCGGCTGTAATGGCAGCTGCTGCAGCAGCAGTCGCTGCTCAGGCTGGTACATTATCAAGGGCGGTAAATCCAACTATTTCATCACTAGTGGTGACGACGACATCGACAACGACAACGACAACAGCAGCAACAGATCCACTTAGCCTAACTAATGGAACGCCACCAAGTCCATTATTTGTAAATGCACAGAAACAAGCGGAACAGACGTTATTCACAGAGAAAGCCTGTTCAGATGTAAATACAGTGACGCATTAGGTCTACACATTTGCATATTACAAAATAAGCTCAATGTATCTATCTATTCTATCTGTCTATCTATCTACCTATTTTCGTTTTTCTTACTTTTCAGTGTGAATAAGTTTCAACTTATGTAACCTCATTATTCAAAAGAGTGAATTGGATACGTAATAAAACATACCTGTAATTAGCTGAATGTGTTTTGAATTAATTATTATTATTTTTTCCTTTAATTCCTACAGGAACATAGGGCTTCAGCCGTGCGTCTCCATTGCGTTCAGTTCTCTGCTAGAGTCTTCACCTGGCTCCAAGTCTGCCCACACACTTTCATCTTCTCTTCATATGACCTCCTCCAAGTCACCCTTGGATGACCAACTCACCACTTCCCTTTCAGGTTTCACTCGAAGGCTTGTCTAGTGATGTCACTTGATGGGTTCCTCAGAGTATGGCCAATCCATCTCCATTTCTTCTTACCTATTTGTTTCACAATCGGTTCCTGGTTGGTTCACTCATTGCCAGAGATCCCTATTGCTGATCTTCTCTGGTCATCTGATCTTGAGTATAGAGCGAAGACAACTGTTAATGAAGGTCTGTAGTTTGTTGGAGATGCTCTTTATGACGCGCCAAGTCTCTGATCCGTATAGTAGCACTGACTTCACATTGGAGTTGAAAATCCGGATCTTATTTTCGATGCTGAGTAGTGCTGTTGACCTCCACACAGACTTGAGAGTAATAAAAGCTTGTCTTGCCTTTCCGATTCTTGCTTTGATATCCTCGTCAGTTCCGCCTGCAGTTGAATTAATAGAGTATTTAAATGGCTAGCAAGTGGGAAGATCTTAGGGCAACGCAGCATGTCTAACTGTTGAAGAAGTATTGATAAATATGACCGCCATACAGAGATGATCAGTATATCTCAACACGGCTGTGCGACTATGATAAGGCACTTAACTACAAACTGACAACGTAACCATGCGCGGTTTAGAAAAGAGGATAGTGATAATAATGGTAACAGGAATTTGCTTTCTTCTGAAACAACGCTTATGAGACAGTGTGGAATTTTCAGCATTTGGTAAAATACTGCATCCAATTTACTCAACAAGAACAACAATAACAACAACAAAAAATAAACTGCAGGATACACTTAACTGAAGTTTGGCGTTAGCAGGAAGTGATTAAAAATGCTCATTAAAATGTTTTTAAAAGAATGGATACTGAACAAAGAATACTCTTTTCGATAACCTGCTCTTTATCAGGTTCTACAGTTATGCATACATAGTAGCGAATAAATTAGTGTTATCAACAGCATTAATGTGGTTGTTTAAATAACATCAAATCAATCAACAATTATGAATAGATTTCAGTTCGATAACATCAACATTACAATAAACTGAATGTCAGAAAGATTAGGAAAGATAATAAGTTAAATTCATGAATTTATAGTCCCTATTGAAGACTGGTCAGGGCAGTAGTAGTAGCTGGCTGGACTTGTTTCGATGCTCACAAAGCACTGGTTGTTTCACGCGAATCGTGATAGCCAGAACTGTTTGGAGTTTGCGGTACTTCACTGATTTTGGCAATTTATTTGGTACCCGGTAGATGATAGAGAAGGATTCTTCAATGCTAACTAGCTTTGTGGCAGGTTTGGACCAGATGGTCTAATATGTAACTTTTGATGGTTTTCACCACACCTTTACTTGACCATAGTAGGAGATTTTCTCGAGCACGAAAAATCAAGTTCCCAGAGCAACAGCCAATATAACTGGCTCCGAAAGCACGGTTGAATTGGTAGATACAATTTGAAGTGGCTAGCTAGTCTAGGTACTTCATCTTTCAGTTGATGAATCACCATCGGTCGTGTAGAGAATAAGACGTGTAGTTTGCTAGCATTAAAAGTTCTTTGAACATAGTTTTTTAATTTCTTCGTAATTATTACGCTTGGTAAATCGCCCTTGAATTGCAGTCGTATGTATGAAGGCTTCTTATTTACAGATGGAGAATAGTTCTTTTCCACTTTCTTTGGCATGTGTTTCTTGATTAATGTGTGTGGATAGCTATTTTCAATCAAGGTATCACATACAATGCTTAATTCATTTTCAATTACTCTTTCTGAGCATATTGCTCTAACTGTGTGGCTGAGGGTCACTACCAAAATTTCTTTTCTACTGGAGAGAAACGAAGTTAGGAAAATGTGTATATTGCTCTGTCCATGTACTTTTTCTATACAAATTTCTTTTTATGCTACCATCTGGTTTTCTTGTAACGAGGAAATTCAGGAAAGTCGCAATTCTGTTTTTGGATTCCTCTGCGCACGTGAATTTCAAAGCAGAAACAGTGGTAGTTTCAAAATGTACAAATGTAATATAGTAAGAATAATAATAATATTAGTATCAATAGTATAAAATTATAAGATAATGGGGATAATGTCACTATCAAAGTGAGCATATGGGGGAATAAACTGGGCTATGTTTTATGCCTGACACACATTAAGTCGTAATTCTCACGTTTAACACTATCTTCATCACACAGAAAGCGGGCAGACTGGAGGGCGAGCCAAATAAGTTGTCGTTAAGTTTCCACACTTGGTTGTTAGAGAACATAATCTTTTATACTGACTTCTAGTCCTACCAGATGAGATGGAAGGTGGGTAGAGCTGAGAATGTACAGGGTGTTGAAAGTCAAACAGTATCGGTCCAGACCACTTCTCAGGTGACTGCAGGTGTCCTTCAACTTTGATAGTGACAAGCTGAGGTAATGGCACACTACTTGCCTTACTGAACACTTTTAAAACCATTCAAAATATGACACAGTCCTTTTTGAGTAGCCCAGGAAAGACTAAGAGGGAACAGTTAAGAACAATATATAGGATGCAAGAGTCAGCAAATTGGTTGGAAGATTTCATCATGAGCTGACATCAGTTAGAGAACCACTGAAAAACCTGGAGGGAATATAGTACAGTCAGTTGTTTCGTCAACCTAGTTTTGGACTTTTCAACAGTACGCACCCACCACCAGGGTTCTTACCCAGGACCCTCTGGTTACAAGGCCAGAGAGCACAATGGCATTCAATGGTTTCCTCAGTCTGTGACCAATTCACCTCCATTTTCTCCTGTATATTTGTTAAGCAATAGATTCTTGGGTGATTCGTTCCAAAATTTCGTGTTGCTCATCCATTCTGGCGGGATTTTTGGTCTTCAATAGGGAGAAAAGGCAGACGTTGTTTAAAGCGAATAGCCTGTTGGAAAAGCTTTTCTTGACGCGTGATTCAAGTTTCTGACCTATTTAGAAGCAGTGGCTGACTTTACATTTGTGTTGAAAATCCGAATTTTTCACTTCTTCTTGAGTGCTGCAGATTTCTAATCTGATTTCGGAGTGATAAAGGTTTGTCTTGCCTTTCCGATTCTGGTTTTGCTGTCCTCATCCATACTGGCTACCTGTAATTTGAATGATGCTATCTAGATAAGTGGAAGTAGTAACCTCTTTCAGATTTCTCCTGCTGTTAACGATTAATGTTTGTTGTTGTCAGTCGGTTGATTTCATCACCACTGTCTTCCTTATGTCCACTTGAATTCCTGTCTTCGAGGCTTCTTCTGCCAAATTTTAGTATTGTGTAATTAAGAAACCCCCGAAAATTCAACTCAGAAGCTTCCTTTTACCAGTCGAGCTCATCGCCCATCCAACCACTGGGAAAAAATTCAATAGTTCGTGGATTCTTATTTCTCTCAACTCATGATGGTGTATACTGTCACCATTAATCAGTGCCATCAGAGAGCATCCCGCCTCACTCCCGATTTAGTCGAATCTTCCAGTAGCGACTTCTTAGTAGAACTTCACGAAATCCACTCCATAGTCAATGACTAATCAGCTTTATGTTAAGGAATGTTAGTAAAACGTGATTCAGAAAGAGCTACAAGATTCAAGCTTTCCGCTCCTCTTTTCACCTTATATGCTGCGCCGGAATGCTCAGTGTGTGTTAACATGTTGGCTCCAAATAAGGATAATTGGACAGTGTCTGAAAGTTAACATAATGTTATTTCGTCTGAAGAGGACTCTCAATGAAATCCAAGATATACGTTTCAACCGATTTGGGACTTGTCAGCTAGATGTACACCTGCACTTCCAGTGAGTGATTGTGAAACAATGGCTACTTGGTTCAAGTATCGACGGAAACGCCATCACTCACTGAGAATGAAGGTATATCCAGATGAGGAGTCCTAAATAGGAAGAAACACGCATCGTATTATAATAAAAAGAAGACGAAGACGGAGAAGAATACACACACACAAAAATGTTGGAAAAATCCGAAAAATAAATAAGAGCCCTATTGATTTCTACTCTATAGAAATAATGACCATCAGTTGTTTTTCTGTCCGAGCCTTATTCATTCCTGGCTACTTGATATAAACATAAATATATATATATATTCATATGCCGATGTCATTTATGATAGGTAGACAGAAAAGATGTAAAAAGGCAATAGATCTTTCTTCTTGAATCATCAGTTGCCATTTCATGAGGAACAGGCTTTTTCAAAATCCTTGAATGTATACACGTATATATATATATATATCATTCTTTCTAATTAATTGGAACGAATAAAAGCAGCATTGTGAATATGTTCCCTTTTTTTTTGTCTACGCATAATTAATACGCATTTTCTAAAAATAAGACTCTGAATTGTTTATGAATAGTAGGTTCTTTTATTAATTTCGTATCACGCTACTATTGAACTGGTTGCGTGCAATCTTATGAAAAGCCAAAGCCAGCCATGATATATATATATATGTATTTATACGCATTTATACATTGATTTGATTTGGTCGATTCAAGTGAGAATATTATTCTGGAAGATACAAGAATGCTGTCTTTAGACATCGTTTCTCTCTGAACTAATTTTCCCCTGGCAGTAAAAACTTGTTGTTTTGTGCGATTTCATCTGGTCAAATAGTATTTCTTGCCTGTGTACCGACCGATTCATTATCTAAAAGAACTATTACTCCGATGAGGTTTCCATGGTTACTTCGGATTTAACGATGGAATCTAATGGTAGATAGAAGAATTGAGCACTGGGTTCTACCCAAGGATCATTCTTAGCTGACTATTTTTTATGGAAAG